AGAAGGTCGAGCTCCGCCCTTCCACCGCCGCCGGTTCCGCGAACAGGTCGTCCTCCTCGCGATAACCCGTGAAGTACAGGTGATAGTTTGTTAATATGGGCGGTGGATCGGGCGCGGTCGCCACGCAGGGGACCCCACGCGTGGATTGGGGATCGCCCGTGGCGGGGGGTCCCATGCCCCAATTACCGGCGGATGCTAAAGTCTTGGAAAACATGCAACCCACACGATCTGAAAAGGGGAAAAATAATAGTGGCCTTTTGCACCGGGGAAAAAAACTAACTCCTACGAAAGATTTCGGAAATTCGAGTAAAATCGGCGAACGATCCAAAGCACTCTTTTTATTTAGAGAACAGCGTGTTAAGATATAGTGAAATGGTGTCTTTCTATTATAAGAGATACGTTTTGTCTTTTAAAAATTTATATATAAATGCATTAAAATGCATAACAAAATGATAGAAAAAGGGAAAAAGTGCTTTGGAACAATATTAATATATGATTCCTATTTATTATATATATATATATATATGTATGTATTCGACAGTAAAAGGATACCATGTAGTGATTATCATAAACAATAGAGCGATAGTCTAAAGGAAAAAGGCCACTATCGTTTATTTTCTTCTTTTTTCATGTGAAAAATCCTTCATTATCTTCCACCAATCTTTTACATCATGAAGGTTTGGTCTGTGAGATCTGTGAGCTATAGCAACAATATCAAGCAGAGTGTATTGCCAATAATATCTTTATCTATAAATCGATACAACCCTACCAATCTAGTGGTATAAATGTATCGGTATCTGTCTGAAAAATACCCAATAGTCCCACGCCGTGAGAACCTTTGATACCCATATCGCTGTCGGTGTACCGGTAGGCATGAATTCCGATCGAACTCGGATCGAGGTATGGGATTCCCATTCGGGTTCGTCTTCCCCTCAGAGCCGACGGAAACCGCGGGAGGCGGCGGGTGCCCGAATGGGTCGATCGCAATCACGGCTTCACCCGCGCGGTGGGCTATCGATTCCTAGGCGAATCCCCATCCCGGATCCTAGTGAAATGCGGAATCCTCGCTGGAGGTGTGCGAGGACGACGGCCGCTGCGGATCGGCGGGTCCTTTCCCATTGCAATACCCGCCGGGCATCCCGATGGCGTTGAGAAACGCGGAGTGGGGCTCAGGGAGGCCGGCGCGGTCGATGGATCGGTGGATGAACGCGCGAAACTCCTCCAGGCGGTGCTGGCGGGTGAGGGTTTCTT